TATCATAAAAATCTATGCTGCAGAAAACTATTGAGTCTTTTTTTGTTTAGTAAATAAAATTGCCTTTTCAAAAATGGTAAGTCATGCATCTCTTGAATCCAGTCCTTAATATCAGGAATATTACTTCTTTTCCAAATTCTCAAAATAATTCTCTTAGCAACACCCTAAGCCCAATATAACCATAACCTCAAAAACAGTAAAATTACAGGAAGCAGAAGGACATGGTTAAACTCAATGAAAATTTAATGGGATGACTTGTTTCCTGACAATTCTCTCAGGTCTATTTCCAGAAAACAGTTTTTTCTTGACATCAACAGCAATACTAAAATACATTATGAGACTATTTTCTGAAAAATAGAAATCAAAAGTTTTCATCTTCAGTCACCTTTCAATCAAGTGAAATGGAAGAAGGAGGAAGAGGAAGAGGAGGAGAAGGAACTGTTTGTGAAAAACATATGATTTCTGATCAACAGTTCCCCAAGCTCAATTTAACTATGGAAGCAATATGAAGTGTTCAACTTCATAGGCTGAATTTGAAGAACAAGTTCTCTGAGTAGACACAACTATTCCACATCAAATCTAGTCTTCTATGCAGCAAAATAATAAGGAATGTATAGGAATGCTACAATAACTTTGTGCTAAACAGTAAGTGGGCTCCTTATTTCAAGATTACAAATTTATACTCTTGCATGCATCCCCTTGTGACCTCAGTTCCAGAAGAAACCTTGTGAAAATAATTTTATAGCATTTCTTCTGAAACTTCAAGGCTGGTGTGCTGCTGGCTGGGTTAAGGTTGCTGGCTGGGTATGTAAACAGGGTGTGTAAGAAGTCTTTACTACTTCTGGACCAAGTTGGGAACAACTCTAGAAATTAGCAGCATCTGCAAGGATAAAGAACAATGTCAAAGGGCCTTTTAAGGTGATACAACCATTGAAAAAGATAATTTGGAGGGGGAAGACAGAGATTCTGTGTGGCCTTCCTTAATTGTTGTTGTTTTCTGGAAACTGTAAATATCACCTTTTCAATAATGCCAGGACCAAACTATCAGAGATGGATCTTTCAGGAATAATTAACGCTGATTTGTCTAAACAGAGATACTCTAGGATCAGATAGTGAGATTACTTAGCAAATACTCTAGAAACTGTATACAGAAGACAACCCATAGAAGACAAGTCCATAAAATAGTGGTGTACAAAACGTTTCAAACTACTGAACCATTTCAAATTTGAAACATCCCATTTTGAATGCCGAACAACTGTTTTCAGTATGAAATGGGCTGATTCAAGCATTTAGGGAATGTTTCAAGTTCAAAACAGCTATGTTTTGAGCTGGAAACACTTCTGAGTCCCGGAGACTCATCATTTTGCACTCAGGACAGGGTGTTTCAAGTTTGGAAGAGTTAGATTCTTATAGGTGATCCCTAACATACAGTTGTAAACAATGATGTGTGTATCTTGATTCTAAGGTCGCTTAGAAAAGCTAGAGTATTACTCTGGGTAAAGAAATCAGTACCTTAAATTTCTAAACTCTTTTTTTCATTCTCTTAAAACAGCTTATTGAACATTTTTCTTTTGCAGAGCCATCAGCATACAGAACAACAATGAAAATATGGTTTCCAGCCTCCAAAGAGCTTATCTAAATGTAAATGCTAGGGAGTCAAAAGGGGAAGAAGAGGAAAGTGAACAGGATAAATGAGATGATTCTGTTCAGCTATTCATACTCAGCTTTAGCTTCAGTAAGTAGTGGACTAAGACTGAATGAAAAGGCTGGATTTGTTGAAGTGGTTACAAAATAAATGCCATTCAATCCAGCTATTCTCATTTTATAATTGGGTTCCATTATACAGAATGTTTATTAATTCTCTAAAGCATAAATAATTATCCAGAATTATATAATTCAAAGCTTCTATAAAGTAGAAGGATGTGTTTTTGGACCAAATGTATTAAAGTGTTTATCCATCCATTTCTTCAAAATAAGCGAAAGTGACAGATCTGTGACTACTCTAGACGATCTCTGGCTTTGAATAACTGAGATAAACCTCAATGATGGGGATACTGGTTTTGTGTAACTCTTCAGTGGGTAATGTAGAAGCAGGAACAAGTCATTTGTGAATTTTTGCAGATAGGTCAGATGGTGCTTATGTTAGTAAAGAGTGATGTTTCTAACATCAAAATACAGATCAGACCTAAAAGATAAAGTTTCCTTCAAGTTGACTCAGTCTTCTGGTGACTGCGCGGTCATGTCTGTATAATACCAATATAGAAATGGTTTGCCATTGTCTTTTTCCATAATGTCTTTTCCCCATCTTCCTAATTTAGCCTAGATTTTTTGTTTTGTTTTTGTTTTTTGTGATCTCCACCCAACTCCTAACAAGGTCTAAGTCTGCTTAGCCTCTGAGCCCAGACAGGATTGGTCACGTGCTGCCATGTTAGGTAGCCAAAAGACAGAGTCTGGTGGCCAAAACAGCATTGTTTCCAGAACAAAAGAGTCCTACAAGAAAAGCTTTAATTTTAATAAGCATCGCAAAGGTGGGGGAGGTAGAAAGACAAAGATAGAGAAAGTGGGGATTCATTTTTAAATGAGGAAGAAACATTTAAAAATCTGTTTTTGAGGTTTGATGAGGTTGAAAAACATCTGTTCACAAGACTGGGACCATCTTCCACACAGTTTCGAAAAGTTTCCTAACTACCAGGCTATCATGGAAAAAACCTTTGAGCTCAAAGATAGGTTGCCAACAGGCCTTTCATAATCAATTTATTGCAAGAAAGACTAATTGGAAACCTCAATAAACACATCTTGTATTTCATAGCTACTAGTGCTTCCCTTGGACATGCGAAAACAAAGAGAGAAACCTGGCCCTTTATAATTAATTAAAATGTGACATATGATATGGGGACTGTATATGTGTAACCTAACTGGCTTTGGTAAAATAGCACAAATGAAGAATTGGCCATAGCTTAAAAGGGCGTATTCATTCATTTTAATCAGCAGCAAATTACACCTCATGAAGACTGTCCCCTGATGACATTACTTCTGTTTCTAACATGTCCCTGTCAAACAGAGGGCAGGAACTACAGAAAACCAAACAAAATAAAATGGGTAACTTCAAGAAAGTCCAGTTCAGCCTATTTCTACAGTGCTTGCAAAGGAGGCTGTTATGTGCTTCGTTGTGGTCCTCATTAGCATCAAGATCAGGTCCCAAATCAAGTGGGGAGCTTTTGGGTCCCTGCCCTTTCTTTCCAGATCATGACAGAGGTGAAAACGTCTTCCCTGAAACTGAGAGGGATGTTGTTTTTGGTACACCCATACCTTTGTTCAACCTCCCTAGAAGTAATTCATGTCCTCATAAACTGCAGCTAGCTAAAAGTGCTTCCCAAACATACACACTAGGAACACCAAGGAAAAAAAACACAACAATTTTTTACATTACAGACATTGTAAGAAGAGACCTGTGTTACCCCAAAATCAGAAAATGTTTGGTAGCAAATTAACATGTTTTATTAAAAGGCATAAGCTTTTGTGAGCTACAGCTCACTTCATCAGATGCATGGATTTGTCTTTCTGAAATGGTGCTACTAGACTGCTTCTGATTATTGCATTATTGGAACATTTGGGGTACTTACCAACATATCCTGGGGTGCCACAGGCTGTGGACATGACATCACCTTTGCCCTCCATTTTTGACAATCCAAAATCACTTATCATGATTTTAGATTCTTCATCCTGGCTGTAGTATAACAGGTTTTCAGGCTGTAGGGACAGTAAGAAAAGAAACCCGATAAGCAAAGCAATCATAGAAGAATATAAATTTTGAGTCAAACGAGGCATGTTTCTAGTTTATATCCCATCCAGTTTTTCAACATAAAAGTATTTTAAATCTTTGCTTGCCAGATCTACAGCAGTGTATAGGAAGTCACTGTCATACCTTAATAAGAAACAAGATGTAGTTAGTGGGGCCAGGAGTAACGTATCATTAACAGATGTGCAAGAGACACAAACTTAGCAGTTACAACTGATTAAACTACACCTACTGAAAATAATTTTCAGCTGTTATAAAGAGGTAAACATGCTCTGATATTATAGTATTTAATTCATAATTGTAAGAAAGAAGAGGCAGCCTCCATATGCTGTCTCATGTGAAGATATCACAGAAATTACTGCCTGTTTGCCTTCAGAACCTGGTCCACTAGTTCAAGAAGGATCTAAGCTTGCATCTTTGGACCAGTGAATGGGAGCCAAATTCCTAGTATAAACAACTTCATAAACACTGAACTGGGAGATATGCATTTTTCTCATAGCAAACCTTTGCATGGTACACCAACATGGAATACAAATACAAACTACTTGGAGAAGACTTCAAACATCTCAGCACAACAGGGATTTATACTTGGGCCTCTCTGATTGTATGACACTTACACAACATCATTTCTACTCCCCAATCCTTTAAAAGCTGGAATTTTACTTCTGTCACCCTCAAATATTGAGGATAAGAAAGAAGGCACATCATTTCACTGCCAATCCACCCTGAGCTGCTGCAGGTCCTGGAGTAGCAAAAAAACCCAAACAAACAAACAAAAAAACCCCTTCACCAAAAGGCAGACAAAGTAAGTTGCTTGCAAATATATATCCCTCCCAATCTACATCAATATTTTATGTGGTATACATTTGTTTGGTCAAACACAAAACAAAACAAACCACAATTACAATCCTCTGTGATTCCTATGACAAAGACATGCAAAGCTGTAGGCTACACTGGGAAGTTGATGAAAAGTCCCAGAAAATGGCAATGGCAAAGTACTTCTGTCCTGTTGTCTAGAAAACTGCATGAACATGAGTATGAAGTCCTCAGGGGACAAGCGCAACTTGAAGGAGAATTCACCTTTACTGGTACCCCCTTATCTGCTCAATTTCTTTTCTCACCTTCTATCACTCTAAGAAATAGCAAAGGAAGCCATAATCACCCTTCCTCTGATAAAAAATCAGACGATCAGGCTTGGAAGGAAATGGAATATTGAGGAGAAACATCAGAAGGACAGGTTGGGTCATGTACCTTGTGAGTGAGCCAGGTGTGACAATGATGGAGTAAACAGGATCATATAGATTGACTCTCAAAATCCACCTATGCTTGGCTGACTAGCAAAAGTTGTAAGCACCTAAAATACCAAAACAGGGTAATGAAAACAAGCATATTTAGATGCAGGTGCCTCTTTTCCTAATATTACTGAAATAAGTCAAAGGTTTCCATGAGATTGCCAAAGAATTATATTAAGTAGGAATGTGCCAATTCGTTGATTCAGGACATACTGTTCTGGATAAAACAGACCTCTTTCAAGGCCTTGCCATGCCTAGAATACCTCAAACGTTTTGTGGTTTGGAAGATTCACTTCCAGAAATTGGCTAAACTGCCTCTCCCCTGAATGTTATGGGCCAGAGGAAATTTTATGGTCCAGAGAATTCTCCAGGATGGTCTGCTTCCAGACTGATGAATTCTATATATCACTAAAATAAATGTAAATCTGGCTTCAGACTGATGTAATTAGCTTTTGAAATATGCTCTTATTAATTCATAATAAGAACTTCTGGGAATTGATTTCTATTATGGCAGTCTTCAATCAATCAATTCTTATTTGTGATCAAAGAACAGAAGATAATCAGATGGTCTGTTACATTGGCCAGGAACTGAGTATCCTCAGGTTAATGTAGAATATTTCTAGAAGCTGCAATACTTTATAGGGAGCAATCCTCAAACATATTTAAATTACTACAGAGAGAGAAAGAGGGACTGCCAACATTTTCAGTAACATTGGAAACAAGTGCCAAGAAAGTTGTACAAATTCCTATCATAATTTAATATGCTCCTTTTATAAATGCAATGTATGTTCCAGCCAGGGGATTCCAAGAAATGTCAAGAAATGGATTGGATGATTTAATATTACTGCATTCCCTTGTCCCAAAACCAAGTTAGTGTAAGGAGTATACCGTCATTTAAGGCAACAACATCATGTTATGAGAAAATATGGGACTTCGTTTAATATTTACGTGAGGCAAGAACATTTAAAAAGATTCACATAACTGTTATTTGTGTGATTGCAGTTATTCAATGAGTATGTGTATGTGTTGCATCTTTATTAGGTCTGCACATGTCCTTCGGAAAAAGTGCTTTGCAATGCGTGGGAGTGCTTATGAACACCTCTTTTTTCATGGTTAAATTAGAAATTGTTTATTTGTTTAATTTGCTGGCTGTTAAAGCAGCCACATCTTCTTCCAGGTTCATGCACTGTTTTGGAAGCTATTCCAGGCTCTCTCCACATGCATGCACCTATACAGCCACAACCTTTTGATAGAGGTAGCTAGGAGCAGCTTCAAAAGCAGCCATGTGAAAAAGACACAGCTGCTTTAAAGATATTTTAAGCAGTGCTTCATACATACTCCCACCTATGATATTTTTTTGTTTTCCTTTGCCCTCTGCTGTGCCTCATTGCCTGTATTTTGGTCACTCTGTGCTATTTTTCTCAAGCGGCATCTTTCTTTTCTCTTTAAGTTTTCCCCTTCTGACCCCTCTCATTTTCATTCCTTCCCTCTCCCAAGAGAGTAAAGAAGATGATCTTGACAGAGCTATGCAAGCTCCAATGCCAAGGTTACAAGGCATAAAGTATTTTTTAAGTCCAGAACGTCCAGGTAACATTCAGAAAGAGCTCAGACAGACACCTCCCTAATCCACTGAACGTAAGAAGGAGGAGGAAGTACAACACAATCAGACTTGCAAGGTGCTGTTCTCAATTAAAGTAGTTTTAGCCTTCCTACAGAATTGATTTCTTGGCCTGGCTACCTAGTGGGGCTGACTTCCTACCTCTTCCTGTGACCATTTAAAGAATTTCTTTGTTACTCCAGGCCTGTCTTTCCTTTTATTTCCTGTCTATGGCAGCCTTGAGCAAATGATAAACCCTGATGATGGTGACACTCCATTCAGCTCCAACATTTGGAAATATAGTGATTAATCAAGGTGAGAAAGAGAGGGGATTCTTCTGAAAATGAGTGTATTTAAAATAGGTATGGTATATGAACATGAGGAAATTTGACCCAAGCTCCTTACAATCCAAGACTGGGTTAATCAGAGTAGACAACCAATGTTTTCCAAAAGTCCACAACCAAAGCCAGCATCTGTTGGCTTTACTAGCTAGTAAGAAAATTCCAGTAAACAACAGCATCTCCATCTTTCTACATTACTGATTGGTGCATACATTCCATTTTGGACTAAGCAAATTATAAGAGTGCAGGAAAAAGGTAAGAACCAGGAAGCCACAGGAATTAAAGATCAGCATACTTCTATCCTGCTTGTTTATGTAATCTCAACTAGTAAACCTTGTTGAAAACAAGGTTTACAACAACAATATTATTTTTAAAAAGCTGATTTAAAAGGCCAATATTAATAAGAGTTAGTGGCAGTGGAAGGTCAACAACAACAACAACAAAGATGTATTTTTAAAAAGGACTTGAGACATCTAGCTTTGAGGATCTGGTATACCACAGAAGAAAGATAATCCTACTAGAAAATTCCACTTTAGAAATGACACCCCTCCTGACCATTATTATTATCTACAAGCTGCATGCAGACATACCTTCTTGTATATAAATATACAAGTATGGAAATGTAGAGAGATGGATGGATGGATGGATGGATGGATGGATGGATGGATGGATGGATGATTGATAGGTAGGTAGGTAGGTAGGTAGGTAGGTAGGTTTTCCCCCCTTTCTTTTTAGAAAATTGTTCTCAATTTGCACAACACTCTGCATCCTGGCTCAGAAGCAGAATGACAATCAATGCCAATCTCTTAGCTCAGGTGCAGTATGTGTGCAATAAGACACCCAGGTTAGTAGACTGATCACTACATTTCAGATTATTTGCAACTTCCAAATCATCCCAAGGGGATCATGGTAACCCAGTCATCTGAATTATATGAATTCCAATATCACTATTCAGGAACAGCTGGGGAGCAGCTGGTGACCATGCTGAAGATAGTAATAGGTATTTTGGGTCACAGAAGTCATCTAACCATATTACAACAGTGACAAGATCTAGGCCACCCTCAAACTATGGACCTGCCCCTTTGGGATGCACTGCTGTACAGAGAAGGTGGTTCCTCTAATTCCTGTAAGCACAATGAAAAAAATGATATATCTGAGAAGAAGATTTGTTTCCCTTCCCCAGCTCACCCTGTCTCTGGAGCATCCATAGCAGGCAGAGAATTCTGAGATTTATTGGAGCTATTTTCATTAATCTAAATTCCAAGTCACATATAAATTAATCCCTTTCCATAGCTCTTTTTAAAGGCACATTTCATATTCCTCTCTGGTATGTATTGTTAATAAGATTAATTTGTTTAAAAAGTAGAGTCAAGGAATTCCTTCAGCTGAAGTAGAGCAGGATCAACAGCTTATCCAACCATTGACTGAGTTATTTGAGCTTGTTCTTCTGTATAAGGAATAATTCTTATAAGCAATTTCCTGCAAATCATGTTGTTTCAGCATAAGATTGACTTAGCAAAAGGTGATACCTTTAAGCCTACTACTTTATATTTTAGGCTTTATACTTTATGGGCTGACTTAGCAAAAGTGCTAAGCAATTAATGCCCAAGCTGGATGCACAAGTAATAATTTATCCACTAATTTATCCACTATTATCTTTCATCCTCACAACACAAAGAAATAAAAGGGAGTTTATAAAAGTTTTGCTTTCATACCAGGGCCCCAAACTTTGACAAGTGCAGTTGCACATAAGTTACTATAGGAGGACAAGATGAAGGATGGACAGGTTGAAAGTTCATTCATTTTCCTAAAAGCATCAAAGTCAAGACTGTAAGGCTCTTCAGAGTAGCTTGCAGCTGTACTCATAGAGGCACTATTATGAATATTAATTAAGTAATTTATTCATTTGATTTACATATGCCACATTCTGCAACTTTTTCCAAAAATGAAATCTAAGGGGCAAGAACTGACATGATGAATGACTTGTTAAGTATTCTTCTTCATCATCCTCACTATAAGGGTTATTGTGCATCCATTTATTCAGCGCAGAACCGTTCCTATGTGACAGTCACTATGGCTCCTGAAACAGTTTGCATTAAATTTACGTTACAATTACACAATAATTTTATTTATTTAATAAATGGCTTTAGACCATTGGAATTACACAATTATATTAAATAGAAATATGGTCAAGGAAAACAAATAAAATACCATTAAAACAAATCAGAATTCTTAGTCTATAAATCCCATACAGTGTTTTTTAAAAAAGTCTTCATTAGGCATCAGAAAGAAAACAGACTTTGCACCAAGCTGTCAAGCTAAGATAGATACCATTGAAATGAGGGTTGAAAATTAATCTATTCATATTATTGGGGAAAATATAGGAAGACTGGGGGAATAAAACAAGGGCCCTGGTTTTACTGACAGCCATGCCTTTTGTAAAATCTAGTTCCATCCACAAAGATATGGGTAACCTTTAATTAAGAATATCCAGACAAACTAAAACTTACTGTATCAAAAACCAATTAATCTACTGGACCTTTCTATAGCTCAACTTTCTCCAAAGGTGTTGGGCCTGTAATTCCAAGATTCCTACCTAGGCTGGATGGGAATTTTGAGAGTTGTATTCCCAACCTAGCTGTTGAGTGCTAGGTTGGAGAAATCTCATCTAACTTGTTTTTTGTTTTTGTTTTTGGGTGCCTTCAAGTCAGTTTTTGACTTCTGGTGACTATCTGGACACGTCCCTGCAGTTTTCTTGGCAAGATTTTTCAGAAGTGGTTTGCCATTGCATCCTTCCTAGG